GGTTCATACTTTCACTTTCTGTGAATTCCCGATATTCTACAATCATTGCTTAATGTCTTCAGTGGGCAAGCGTCTTCACTCCTAAAGGTCATGACTTCTTAAAGCTGCAGGGAATCCACCTGAATGTAAATTTTTTATGAGGATTGGCCAGGAAAGTTGGAGATTGCTAAACGTTTGTAACAGCTGAGTTGCTAAATCAACTACAAAAATGAATGGGACTGTAGCCTTGGTCCTACACCATACCGTTTCTGCAAACTAGGCATATGCACGATGAGGGTAAGTTGCACTTAGCTTAAGCATCGAGTAATGGCAATGAGTAGGAGAGTTGCTGTGGCCAATGATAAGCCCCAAATGTGAGCATAGGTGAAGCAACCGAAGTGCGCTGATTTTGCTGGCGTAGTGGGGTGTACTGTAATTGGTTTTTGCGAAGTGTGAGTTTTAAATATGGGCTAACGTTAGCATTTAACCCGAATAACGTTTTCAATTGAGACTTCGGCACTATCAGCCGGCTAATCGGTCGTAAATTTTAAAATTTCCTTACAAATGAAATAGAATTTTAGAATTGTTATGCAAATTCCTGGAAAAAATAGTTCTTTTTATTTTTCTGGAATACATTTCCGTTTGGTTGCATTTTTCAACACTTGGTTTCACTTAGAGATTCCGATGTATCTTTGAAGTGCTCGTAAGCTAAGAATTCACGTCCAAGAATAACTTCGATTTCCCTTTTGGTTCATTGAGTTCCTTTTCTAATTTAAGTGTTATGTTTTAACTAATTTGCATGTTGACGCGTTGGTAAACATCATGAGATGAAAATTTACCGATGAGCCTTGTATTCAATAACAATGCATCCTCCATAAACATAATAGTATAGGGACGCCGTCGAAACGAACCTATTCGAATATATTGTGTTTTTCGCCCTATATGAGTGTTGACTGGGAAGGGTGAAACCAGTTAGGTAATTATTTCAGAATATAACTGAAAAACTGTCGAGTTCTGGTTTGTCTTCAAACAGTATTCATAGGCATGGACGTTGGTATTTTAGGGGTTTATACGGTTTCGGGGTTTCATGTATTGTACCAAGTTTAAATAACATTTTTTAAACACCATTTCCTTGACATCCCCCTGTTACATAATGATACACTATTAACATTTCAAGCGGAAATAAATGTTGGAAGCGACGATCAAACTTACGACTTTTTCTATTATGTGACTTCAGTTTCTGAATCTGAACTAGTCGACTTGATCCCGATCGACAGTCTGTGTGCCGTTGGGCTAGAAGGTTTGCCTAGAGTGAGAACTGACCAGGAATAGATGTGGCCTTTTCACCATCCCTGATTACGTACCGGTTGAATACTGCTCATGCACAGTCAAGGATGAGTTCTATCAGCAGTTGAGTGTGTAGTAATCATCGGTGTGTCAGTCTGTTCACAGTAGCGTGTAAGATATTTACTCCCATCGTGCTTCGCAGGTTATGCAAAAGATGTGAAAAATGTCATACATATTACGGATCAAAGATCGTTTTTCATCGATATAAGGGCTACTTTCAGTTGATTAGTCAATGTTTTACTCTAAAATTGTCTGTTAGAGAGGGGTGTCCCCGGGAAGTTTGTAGACATCTTGATAGTCCTACAGTTCAACACTTCAGGTACAGTGTTGGCTTACGGCCTCGTCTCTCCATTTTAATGACCTAACAGTGGAGTTTAGCAGGGCTGCCCGATTTCAATATCTTGTTTTGTCATTGATGACATTCTCCACACAGCCCTAAAGGAGAAACGTAGTAACGGTGAAGACCCGTTATCACGTGAAAGACTTTTTGACCTCGAGCATGCGGATAATATCGTTTTACTCAAACTGCACTCAATCAGCTAACGATCACTGTCCTTGAGTATGGTTTATGCTTCGCACCCTCAAAGTATGAAGTGCTGTTACAAGTTTGGCAGGAGCCTGTGTTTGAACTCAACTTTGATGGTGAACCGTTGGAAGTAGTCGTAAAGTTTGTGCACCTGGCCGGTTGCGTGAGTGCTGTTGGTGTGACTGATGATACCCCAACCACTTGTCGAAAGCCGAAGTGACATAAGACACTTTGGGTTACCTTTGGCGCATTTCTGATGTTAACCTTGCTGTAAATGGTCAGGTATACAACGTGTCGGTACTGACTGTCGTTTTGTTGCTTATGAAACATGGCTACTTCAAGCTAAGGGTGTCCAACAACTCCACATTTTCCATCACCGTTGTCTCTGTTTGATTGCTCACATATGATGCAAATACCATGTAAGTAAGTCTGGGGTGTGGGGGTGTTAGAGATCGCCATTCCTTGAATGTAGTTATTCATCCCTCCTTGCATTTTCTGTGTTTTCGTATTCTTTTTGTGTTACATCTCTTGGTGCCTACGTTTCACCAAGTTTGTGTCCTTAGTAAAAAATATACCGTTTTCAAGTGAAAAACTCTTCAATTGTGGCAGTACATTTCTAAATTAGCCTATTGTTTCATACATAGGTATAATCTGAAACAATGCACTTCACCGCTCCTCAAAATGGGGAACTTACGTACTTTAATTGGAACAGGTTAATCAAAATACCTTAGATGTATATTTCCATGTTCTTATCTTACCTTAAAGGTAGTCTGTAAATGTAACAGTACGTGTAAAGTACATTGTGTTGTTGTAATGTAAGAAGGCTCGTAGATGAAGTTGTACGTAAGAAAATTATAGCATCTAAAAAAAATATTTTTTTCAAGTACATCGGATTCAAAATTAGTTGATAGTGATATAGCCTATTTTTACCCACCTTTGAACGTCAGTTGGAAAGAATGGTCGTGACTGTGATAGTTAATTCGTGGTAAATCTATGTTTCATCTTGCGTTTAAACTCTCCCACCACTAAGTGGGAGTATCAGCGTTTAAAGAATATCATGGTTTTATTTTGTTCCCTTAAGCATCTTAAATTGTTTTTCACTCATCGAGTGCAATTAACACATCAGTGAAAACCTTTTTCCAATATTTTGAAACAGTTGATGGCGTTTGGGAGAATTTTCTGAAGTTATACAGTTATCGACTCGTTATTAGGAGAATGCAAGTGAACACTAGCAAATGCATTGTTATTTTCGTTCTTTGATACTTTTGATTGATATTCATTCAAGAATCGCAAATCTTTCTTTAAGTATGCAGTGTCACTACTCACAAGTACACTGAAGAAAGATGGTCAGTGGAAGTTTATGTCCATAAATAATAAAGTCACAGAGTTCTGCCGTTGTATGCCAAAGTAATCCACCTGACTAGTTGAAGAAAAGTCAACCAATAATCTTGGTTTCTTATCTCAAACAGAACTCTCATGGAATAGGTACCTAATGTTTAGATTGGGAAGTCTGTTTCCTCGTTTGATCGTGGTTCATAAATCTATAAATGAAAGCATGATGTTATGATCATAACTCCACCGATCAGGGGATACTAAAAATCAAGTGGCTGACAATGAAATACGTAAAATAAGTTGATAATAATGATCGAAATCCATTTATTCAGACAATGTGGCTGACACAATATAGAATTCTCAGCCCGTAATATTTCGACTAATTTACTCGCTTTACAATATTTTCAGACGAAATAATTATAGCACTTCGGTAATGTTGATAGTAATAGTACTGCAAAGCAATAGCATGCAAAAAGGCTGAGAATGAATAGAAAAGCCTGCTGGCGGTTTGTCCAACCAGTGAGAAAGTGTGTGATTCAGACTGAGTACATCAGGAATAGTTGTATCATGTACTACTATGCATTTCAGAGTCCATTGCCATACACTGTGACGTCTTTTATTCATCTTATTGTTAACTTGTAAAATAGTTGGTTGGAACTTTTTAAATAATATACGAGAGTGCACAATAAAGTTTGAAGACATTTAGATGATTCAAAGAGGTTAAGAGGGAGTGGTTTGATGTCTTATACTGGAAAATATTTGGTTGGTCATTGTTGAATCAGGCCGCCAGTGGTAAATCAGGGAAAAGACCCAATTAGGTGACTGAAGTGATGGTTTGTAGATGTGAGGAAGAGGCAGATGTTAGTCAAATGTCAAACACAATTTCTGTTTTCTTGGTAGTACGCAAACAACTATTCGCCTTCAGAAGAATGATGTGTTTTATATGCCTGAGTGTTCAAGTCCAGTATAAGGTGGGACGACCTTTTTAAATAGCTTGAGTTTGATTTAAAGTTTGTGTGTATCCTAAAGCTGTATGCTCTGCTTCCCAGTTTGAGTTATTACTCTTAATTCGACAAAGTTTCAAAAGAAGGGTTTTGGAAACTGAAATATATTTAATTGGTAGTCTTTTTAATGTCGTATATGCTTTGTCTGATAGCCACTATGCTATTTATTGATTTGTAGCCGATGGATTGTATGACAAGAGTCCACTTCTCATTTATGGATTTAAGTTTTAAAAACAAGCGTAGATACACGACTGCATATCTGTAAAAGACAAACAGCTGGTACTTCTATTTCATTGAAAGAAATTCACTCATTTCTAACAAACACCTTGTTCCTTCTTGAGACATAGTTACTAGTTTTTCATGCTAGCTAGGTACACTGTTGAGTTCCCGTAATTTGTTTTATGGATGGCTAGCTTAATTTGAGGAAGTAGTCATCTCACGCAGTAGAGACTGTCCGATTTTGAATATTGAGATATATGTTTAACAGATAGTGGTCTGGTATTCTGTGAGCTTTGATATAAGCTCGGAGAACACCAAATCGCCATCATCGTCATCCTAAGCTACAAATCTTTTCTACATATGCAACTGCTATTCATGTAGAAGAATGTGAATATAAACGTTGTTTTTCCGTCTTTTTAATTAATGAATTAGGTGGTTCAAGAAAGTCGTCAGTGTGAATATTTCTTTACTTCCTTCAGAATTTATATATCAATTCAGTAATATTGGATTTGGCATTTTTTAGAAAATAATCACTGTTATTGTGCAGTATATATTTCTTATCAAATAACTAACTTATATTGAAGTAAAGCCGAATGACTCTTTTGAAGAGATCACCTGAGTTTATGGATCAAAAATGTGATTCATGTAATACTTTTTATGATATTGAAGATGTATCGAATATCCGGCCATCATACCAAAGAAAAATTGCAAATGAATATGTGAGTGTTATAGACAAACGAATCTGTGCATATTTCGTGTATTGTTATTGTTGCAAAACTGACTTATCTTACTTTTGATATGATTGAAAGTTAAGTGGATGTTATACATCACTAACTAACTAATGTACATGTAAGCTTCTACTCAGCAGAAATTTAAACATTCAGTCGTTATCCACTGGCCTCTGATAATGATAGTCAGTGTGTTTAGTAACATTGCAAACAAAGGCTTACAGAGTAGCTAGTTTAAGGCCATTTTTCATGAATAGATATGATTTCACTCAAAGTTTTTGAATTTCTCCAACGAGTTCTTATTCTTTGCTTCTGAGATATTCTTTCCTTGTTTGTATAAACTAGGGTGACAGATGAGAGTTTATAGAAGTGCTTTCTTGTTAAAATTTGTCAATATACTCTACTGTTTTATTTTAATCGGATAAAATTACTGACTTTGAATTATAGAAACTATTTTCAGAGGGTATGCAATTCGTCAACAGAATTTATCCGATGGATAAACGGACAAGTTTTAGCTATCATGTGATAGATGATAGAGGATATACATTTTTGATACTTACATAAAGAAGCAAATATTTAAAGTAAATTGGGTCTGGTTTCCTTCAGATTCATTGCAGAAGCAAGGGGAATTCTAAAGTATACATTTTTAATATAGAGATTTTACTGGCTTTTCTACGAGTTATGTAGTAAAATAGTATTTATCATCCTGGGATTTTTGTTCTGTTCAGACGAATTCCTTTTGAAGCGGAATGACTAGGAAACTATGTTCACATTTAAGCAACAGGCGACAATGCTTTTGAGAAACTAATTTTTTCTTCGATATGATTCTAATTTTATTCAGATGAGTGATGTTACTTCTTGTATTATATTTCCTATATCAAGAGTGCTTGCAACCTATGTTGGTTAGAAAGCCTGTAATTGTCAGTCTTTGCAATTTTTGTGCATATCCTTTTTAGGATACCATTTTATGCCATGTTAATTCGTTGTACGTGTATTTTCCTGCAAATAAAGCATAAAATACTGGTGAAATTTATTGATGTGTACTAGGCTATTTAATTCAACACGTTACTGTTGTGATCATGCAGTCCAACTTTTCGATCATTAGCTTCACATATTTATTTCTCAGTAGTAGGGTAGTCATATTCATACTAATTCACTAAGTATGCCTGACAACTTAATGCATGAATACTTACTTGAGGAATAGTTTGTATCGTTTTTTCAGTTTGATTGAGTGGAATACTTTACTTTAAAGATTCCAGCTGTTAGCCAGACAAAAATCACAGTCGTGTAAACAGCTAACTGTTGATTGCTTTGTTAAGTAACTTGAGTTAAATTAGTAGGTCTACCTTGAATGGCTAGATGGATGACTGTTCAATCTGGATACATATATGGCTATATTCTTCTCCAGTTTGCAAGCACAGCAGCTTAAATCTTAAGTTCGTCCCTCATAGCAGGTAATCATCTCATAAATTTAAACAGCATAGTGTGAAGACGAAGATTACCTTAAAAATTTAATGCACCAACGCTACGCATTCCGAACAATTTGGTCACACATGGACTTGTTGAAATATTTATATGGAAGTTTACTAAAAAGGTTAGTTATGTTTTCTAATGACTTAACTGAACCTTTTAGTAAATTTTCATATCAATAGTTTGACAAGTCCATGTGCGATTAGATTGTTCAGAATGCACAGCGCTAATCATATGTTTTAAAAAATCTCCATCTCAATACGTCGTTTAGATTTATCAAAAGGACTAATTACTTTAAATCACCTCTTAATTTGGAGCTGTTTGGCACTTAAAACATACATTTTTAGTAGATTTTCTTTAAAGATTTTGAATATCGGTGATTACACTAATCTTTTCTAATTTTTGGCATTTCAAAACTTAAGTTCATTTTCAGTTATATTATATCAGTAAGACATTTTAAAGGAATATTGAATGTAATATTGTTTATTTAGTCTGGAGGATGATCTCGGGAGAGGGGGCAGGGAGGACTAAGAACCATTCTCCTTAGATTTTCTTTGAGAGTTCTTCACCCAATATCAGTTCTTTAGATCTAAAAGTGATTATATTAATCTCTCCAACCATTTTTCTTTAATTTAATGCAGCATACTGGCAATCATGTTGAAGAAGAAAATATTAATGTTGCACAAAACACACCAACGGAGTTTTTGGGTTATGATTGGATAGCATCAATGATCGACAACCAAATGAGAGCTATGTACTCAAACATTTTGAAAAAACATAATAAAACGTCAGTAAATAGTGATATAGTTGATGAACAATGGTTAAATCAACCAGAACTTTTTGAGAACCTAAGTAGATTTCGTCAAACAAATTCCGACCTTTGTTGTTCACAGCAGCCTGTAAGGTTAGTATTTTTGACACCATTCAAGTGTATCTTCATTCAAATTTCTGTGTGTATTATACTGGTTTTTTTTCTGTTATTACTGTTCTTTTTCATGAAATATGGATATGATGAGGATGTACTACAACATATTGCTTTCCTTAAAAATAAATAAGCATTATTTAATTGGGAAAAAAACGTTAGTTATTGATTATCAAGTCATTCACATTCACTTCGATAACTTAAACCAACCAATCTTATTATGTCTAAAATTAACAGTAAACTTAGTTGATCCAAACTTTTATTATGGTTTACTAAGATCATTTATTTACTTTATTTTAATTCTATCCAGCAGATGATGATACTTCCAGTCTATTGCGGTTAACGCTACAGTTCTTGGTGTTATGTGCAAACGAAAGTAGAATAAAGTCCAGTCTTATCTATCATTAAGCCTGTGAATACATATAACATAAATATATGACTTATAAGAAGTGTTTATTTAAAAAAACCCTCTTAGTTTACTACTTTTTAGAGATTTAAACATCACGTTCTATATTTTCCTCATTTCTACTTCAAAAACAAGTTGACTACATCGACATTATTGTTTCTGCTGATTTGTGTATGGATCATATTTCACAGACATTATTGTGGGTAATGTAACTGTGACAATCAAATTAAGCATTTTGCAACAGCAGGAAACGTACAAATGGTCTATTTATTTGTGGGGAAATAACTACTTCCTGTAAGTAGTCTCATTTTCTATTCTTCGTAGGCCTACCACCTACTTTCACACAGAAAAGCGAAATCATATAACATAACACGATGACAAATTATAACTATAGTGAAACTTCATATGACACTTTTCGTATTGTGTATTCTATAACCTAAATGTGTAACGTATTTGCCTGGAAGGAAACTACATCACAATTTTAGTCTAATTTTCTGTTCTTTTGAGTTTTTAGCTATTCTTTCATGTTAGACTTCAATAACAATCAGGTTATCTGAAACATATTTGTCATGGGCGCAATTGATATTTTATCTAGTTTATAAAGACTGAAGTATCACCTCAAAAAAAGAATCTTTGAGCTTTACATGTTGTGAATGGTGGAAAGGTGATTACTGTACAGAGTTATTTTGTTATTGGCGATACGGATTTAATGATGCTTGTTTCTTTGATTATCCAGTTTAGTTGCATCTCTTCTCAGCCTTAATTTGATCATTTATTGTTATATTTTTGTCGAATTCATGTCTTGGGTTTTCGCAGTTATAACAAGGTGTGTACAAAAGTTAATCCTCCCCGGTCAGCATCAACAAGAGTCAGACAACTGGTTCGACCAATACCGCCTGTTAGAACCAAATTTTTACCTAACAGTAGTTCAAGACCTCCAGTTATATACAGTTATACGTTGAATTCTAGACTATTTCCTGTGAGGACAGATATTTTGGCCGATAATGAAAAGGCTGAATGTGATGCAAACAATTCAGTAATTCTAAGGTAACTTTTGATTTGAAATCTTTCTAAATTCATCTATTTGCTGCTTCGGTCACGTGTTCAGTTTGGGTATGAGATGTTTCCAAGTATCGAGAACCAAACAGTTACATTATAGTAGCTTATGTTATCTATTTATTTTCACTTTATTACAGTTCATCAATTGAAGGCTTAACTGAATACGATGTGTGTGCGATGGGACATATAATGAATAATAATATATGCACCATATATATATATATATATATATATATATATATATATATATATATACATATATATATATATATATATATATATATATATATATATATATATATATATACCTTTTAGGACTTTATATTTCCTTTGACTGAGTTTTCTTTTCTTCATCTTCCACCTCACTGCCTTTTTACTTGACGTACTGATATGAGCTGTGGCAACTCGGACCGTTACTCAGTAATGCCCGGTCCTATGTTGATTTGGATGGATGGATTGAAATTTAGTTATTTTATCCTAGTTAAACTCCTCTGATTCAATCCATACTTAAAACGAGTTAGTAAATATAATTAAATTAGTGCTTCTTGCTTAAACATGAATGAAAAATAAGACCTTACTTTACTGTCTAACTGTTCAGTCATCTATACGTCACATCTACACTTCGAGGCGGACACCAATAAGGGGGATGAAAAGAAAGTTAAAAGAATCATTATAAACGGTTGTAACAAGTTTATAACAAGATGTTTCAAGTAGGCGAACAGAACAATGACACGACATTATGCTGCAGTATTTTTTGTATATTTTGGAATGTCTTAGTATGTTGGTATCGAAAGTTGCTTCTACGAACTGTTTTTGTCAAGTTTCAAGAGCCTTCATGACATGATGTAGCCACTTAAGAATTTATTTTTATTTAACTACATGAGAAGTTGTGGTCTTCATACCATGGGCTTTTTCTTGTTATCTCACCTAAGTCTAGTCTGTTGGTTATTTTTAAAAGGTGTGAAAAATCTCATTTTTCATTCGATTATGCTAGTCAAATCTGGGATACTTGAGGTGTGAAAATCACTCTTACATCCAGTAACATGAAGGACACAAAGACTAGATCCAGGGCTTCCTGCCGGTCACCTCCAACAAACTAACATCTGTCAATTCGCACTGCAATGCTGAGCCTTGTAGCTTGGTGGCCGCATTGCAAAATGATCGATCGGATTCGGTCAGCACTCAGGATTAGACAACATGAAATTAATTGGTCTCCCTTGACCAGTCAATGTATGTAATCCAGTCTTACAGGAGATCAGTTGCTACCCGAATAGCTCAGCGGTAAAATCAGTGACTACAACACTGGGTGACGTGGGTTCGAACCTCAGACAGGATATCAATCCTCTCGAGGTTATAGGCAAGCCTTGCTGATAAGTGCCAACAAGCACGAAACCTAGGTTCAGAGTTTCCTGCCGATTACCTCCAACTAACTAACACAAGAACTATTCTGTGACGACAAAACTTTTTTTTACCACTTTTTGTCTTGGTTCTGTTTACCCTAATAAACACACAAATATTTATCATCTGAGGTTTCGCAAAACTTCTTTGGCAAATAAATGATGTCGATTGTTCTGAGTTTTTAGTCCACAATAAAGTACGGGTGTTATAAAACAGGAGTTGCTTTTTGTCTTGAAATTATCGTGTATAGTTAGTAAAGCTGAAACAAAAGTGAATTAAATTAATGTGGAACAGATTATTACATTTTTGTTTATCTACATATGACTAGTGATAAATTAATGTTCACACTTCAAGAAAGTGAAATTTTAACATAAAGTTTCGTAGTCAAAGTAGAAAATATTTCATATTCCTTGTTCACCTTCAATGAACTCAATCTAACACTGAAAACGAAGTAGAACTATGTAACTTTTCTGCTTACATTACCGATTCTTCAATAAGGTCGACTGTGAGTTTTTATTGGAGTCAAATGGTACATCTTCAGATCCCGTAAGGAGTTTAATGTGAGTGAATTACGTAGTTGAAATCTGATGATTAATTTATAACTTGACCCGTGGTTCAGTATTGCTGTTTTTCAAATTTCTGCTTATATTTTGGTGATAGGTTATACTAAGGGTAATAAATAACATAGTAATAACTTGATAAATTCGCTGGCTTTTGTTTCATTTGTATGCGTAACTTTGGGTTCACATTATTGTGACATTGATATACAGATGATTATATATGAAGATATTGAAAGTCAACTGCAACTGAATAAATGCATAAACTGTTCATCTCAGAACTTAACCATCTCTTGTTGTGTTTCCTTACGATCAAATTGCTTATTTTTTCTTCTAAAATTTTCCTCAACTTGAATTCATGCCTAGTTGTGTTAGTTTATTGTTTGCGTATTCTTACCGTCTTCCTTCTTATTCACTTTTTTCATAATATGTTGATGTGTAGTATAATAACTCGATGAAATATACAGTTATGCCTTATGCTCTTTGGTGTCTGTCTGTTTTATTTGTTTTACTAGTGTTATTACTTATTACAATTTCTATATTTTTATCGTTACCATGTGTACTTCTTAAGTTAATTCTTTGTTTAAAAAAAAAAAATTCTTTTTAGTATTTCAATTCCATCGCATCGTTTGAAAAGTATGAAAATCTCAAATGTATCATCAGATTACTATAAAAAGCATATTCCAGTGTTATCTCATCGACCTGGAAATACAATTTCTTTAATAGACCACTGTTATTGAATGCTAAAAATAAGAGATTTACATCATGGATCCAGTATATCGAATGTAATCAATTATATATTATGAAGTTACTGGAGTTTTATTCAACTGTGAATAACTTTTGAAACACACTTTTCAATTTTGAAACCTTATGAAATGTATAATAATTGTTATTTTTTTGCAAATTTGGTGCAAATCATTGTCTGACTGAAAATTCTATAAGAATAACAAATTATTTAAGTGGTATGTATTTATCAAACAAATAGGATTACTTCTTGTCATAAACATAGCATTATTACCAATATTTTCAGTCTCCACTTGCTGAGCTGACTCGAACATATATGGGGCTTGCCAAGCCACCACCTAGCTTGATGTATGGTATTAACCGAAGTAGGATTGGCTAGGAATAAGGCTAAGAGTGATCAAATCAAGACATTATAGTAATTATTATTTTGTTTCTTCTTATATTTTGCTGTGTTAGCATGATAATTTGATGGATATAATTTTTTTTATTATTATGCCTTATTACCAGTAGTTAGTAAAAGATTTTCGCGATCCACTTTCGATTTGTATATACTGATCAATCAAGGACCCGTTTATGAACTTCAATCAGGTTATATTTTTTCTCTGTAAATTATAAGTTTCATCATCAAAAAGGATAATACTTAGCTGGTTTTTGTTTTACATAAAAACGGATTTCAGAAACTCATAAATCTAAATTTAAGTTTTATGTGTATTCATTTCGAATCATTCCTCTTGAGTTCGTAGATCCAGAAAGGTCTGGAATTCAACTGTAACTATTTGTTGTCACATCTTTTTAATTTCTCAATTTTCAGTTGATACTTTTTGTGATCTTCATGTATGGCGAGATATTTAAACAACAGTTGCTACTAATCATTTCCAATAATGATGCTTGAAGCTTTTTCTTAGAAAGTTATTTCGGTTGAAAAAAGTAAATCAAATCCGATTAAATTCTATAGAAATATAAAATATTATGAATACTTGACGTTGTTCTCAATTTCTGTTTTTCTGCGCTTACTATTCAATTTGTAGGTTTATTATTATTAAACGACTGCTAAAACTTTTTCCAGGTAATCGAAATTAAATGTCTATATGTTTGATCAGGTTTACTGAACAAATATCAGATGGTAACAGCATAACGATTGAATAATTTATAAGACTACATATACAGGTTCATAGATGGATATCCTGTGTACCTCATTTTATCGCCATTTCACGTTCTTCTCTGCAGTCTCTTTAACCTGGCTACACAACTGCCTGGAAGCTTTCATTTCTTCCTTACACCATCTCCTCCATATTACCCCCGCCTCGGACGCCCAAGTCGTCGGTTCCCCTCTGGATTCTACTCGAGGACTTGAACTGCTGCGTGATGTCCCCAAATGGTCTTCTCAGTGTATCTTCAATCCAATCCATCTCCACTTTCTTCTGGATATCTGCTGGGTGATGGGTTATTGGTTGGTTCGTTACCAGACCGGAGTTCCTGGTTGCTTAGTCTTTGTGGCTTTCTGATCTGATCTTCAGTATGGAGTGAGTGTAGTCGGTAGCTGTTGATGTATGTGTGATGTATGTTGGAAATGCGTTTCGTAACACATCAAGTCTCTGAACCATCACTTGGAAGCAGTGACTTGAGTGACTGGCATTAGTGTTGAGAATCCGGATGTTGTTCACGCTTTATGCTGAGAACAGCACAGTACAGTGCAGTACAGTACAGTGTAGTGCAGTAAATCTCCACACTTGTTTCAGATAAATGTAGGAAGGTCTGTCTTGCTTTTCTGATCCTGACTTTGACGTTGTCATGTGTCCCTGTGCCACCTGAGGTTGAAACGATGTTGCCTAGGTAGGTAGGTGAAATAGACCATTGAATTGGTTAGTGCGTTTGTATGAAGAGATGTCATATTAGACTAAAAACGTTCCTGCGAAGGAATTTTCTTTAAGATTATGTGGTTTTATAAGTTATGTAATCATGATTGTATTCAGGAGATAGAGTTAATTGTACTATAATTGTTAGGTCGAATAATATGCTATTTACTGAAATTTTGATCTAAAGTGGAAGGAAACGAAATGAAATTGGGACTAGGTAGTACAATGTTATTGCGCCCAGAATAAACAGGCAGATCATGAAATAAGTAATTAGAGAGGACAAATTAAGTGGAAGGTTAGAGTTACGAATGGACTGTACTGCGTGATGTTCCTTTAATTTGCCTATAAAGGCATTAAGTTTGAGATTATGGATGACCAGTGGTTCACCTATGGAAAGATTCTGTAGGCGAAGTTATTTAGATTATTGCATGGGAAATCAAAGTTACTTTAGAAAAACAGACATCAACGTAGATTTTAGCACGGAGATGCGTCAGTTCAAGTTATCAGACTTCAGAACAGTATATGGAAAAAGCGAATAAAAAGTGAACTTAAGGTAACAAATGCGTGTGAAAGGAGAGAAAATTAATGGATGAAGGTTTATGCTTTATGAAGAGTGTAAATTCGTGCTCTAATTCCGAAACATGCTATCAAGAGTCTGGGACCACTGCTTCTTATCGTGTCAAGGACCGTAACCAGACAGCCCACAAGACTGATACTGATAGTCAGGGACTTCATGAAAACGAAATGCTCTCAGTAACCTTGTTCACATTCATGAAGGACACAAGGAATAACACTTATTTTGTGAGGGCTTGTGATAATACTTGGCTTCTCAGACTTCGGTAGCTGGAGTTGTATTCGAACCTGTGACCCATTGGTTAAAAATTAACTCCCTAAACCAATGGAATAAAGCCCCACTAAACTTCACGGACTTGCTTCACTCTTAGCTTTCTCCCAAGCTGGTCCTGTATCGGCTAGCAGTGCACATCGAGGTAGGCAGTGGGTTGGGTTTTTTACAAACTATTTCCAAGCTGTCTCAATTGGTGGTTTGCAACCTCATTGAGGGTCATACCTTCCTTGCCCGGTATCTTTTGCCTAACCTCTGTGATGCTTACAGGGGGGGGGGTTCAGCATACTTGTGATCAAAAACCTGTAATCATTTCTTATCTGCTTTCAGAAGCCATGCTTCAAAGTCGTATAACAGGACGGAGCAAACTACAGCTTCGTGTATTCATCCTTTAGTGGATAGTCGTATATACCTACGGTACCAGAGATGGCATAAGTTAACAGATATCAAGCGTGCCTTTTGTAACCGAGTTGGGATTTCGTCGTCAACTAGACCATTTGAACTGATGCAAGTAAATGAAGCGGTCAGTACACTCCACCGTTTCACTGCCTATCCTTAAGCTGAGACAGAACAGACCAGTCCAGGAGCAGCATCTTACAGTTGATTGATGTGAACAGTATGCAAAACATACTCAGATTTCTGCCGAATACATTCAGAAGATGTAGCGTCAATTAGCAGGATAATGTCCACACACTTCAAGTCAACTAAGTTCCCTCCTTGATGAAAGCGAATCTTTGAATCTAAGCACATCTATGACAAAGTTAAGTGGGAATTCACTCGGTAGCTGCAACCACATTTGTACCGTAGTCAGTGGTACCCTCCCATTTTTTAGTGGTTAACACTACTAATTCGGTGCACAAGCCTCATTAGGTATTAAAACCCATGACTCATTTTTCTGAAGTCGAGTACCTAGACTAATGAGCCGCATAAATAAAAATGGTGATGGTGTACATCTTTTTGAACAACAACTTTTGTCTTTATTTCAGACAACGACTGGAAGCGAGCTCTTACATGACTGAGTTAGCTCAAGAGGAGAGCCTTAATTGTCATCATTTCCTTCCTCGAAGCTCATCCCAAAGTCAGTTATTTGAGGTGAATGGTCCTTGGATAACGGTGTGTTGAAGGATCATTCAGGTGGCTAAATTTGGCCTGTTGTTTGCAAGCGACTTTTTCAGGAATTCTGCATATTTTGTTGAGTAAATAAATAGTCCGTATTTCTAATGCTATTTATGGCAAACTGAGTTTTTTCACGCAAATTACATACGCCCTTCCAAGGGCTGGGAGCTAAAGTGCCATTGCGGTAGAATAATAGGCAACGCAGTTTGCCATATTTTTGTGAACATTTTGGTCAAACATTCCTGAACCATTTTTCTGCTCCATTTCTTAAAGTTAACCGGGTATTGGTTGCAAAGGCCGAATACAGTATTATATCTAAGTAACTGTAATTCCTTCTTGACTTAATCTGTCAATTGACTTGTATTTTATTAGCGTCGCCGACAACTCGCTTAGTTTTGAGGAGAAGGAATTTGGATCTCAGCGAAGCTATCATGGCAGCTGTATGCATCTCGCTTCACTTAACATGGTCTTCAGGTAGGTTGAAAGATATATCCAAGGTTCCGCCACTAATCACTACCCAATCTTATTTAGATAAAGTCAAAAGCGGTTTTAAGTTTTCAGTATGCGGAGTTTATGTGCAAACAAGGGCTTTTCATTTAAGGCCCTGAAAATCAATATCTTAGAGATTCTCCAACTCCTTTACCGAAGCACTTGGCGATTTTCGGTCAGATACCTTCTATCCACTGACTGTTAACTGCAGAAGGTAGTATCAATGAAGTAACTGAGTTATTTTCAAGCACTTTAATTTGAGGGTAAAACTTTACCACTGGTGTACAGGATAATTCTGTATTAGACTATACTATTTGATATAGCAAACAGTGTTACAGTATCATTTACTGGATGAATTTTCGAGCAGAATTTATTGTTAATATTCGTATCAAAGTAACCATGCCACCTTCAAAACTCACTTGTAAAACCACGATATAAGTGAAGGCATGATAACTTTTATACAAATATGAGCAATCAATTCTGCTCAAAAATTCATCCAGTAAATAATGCTTTATCATTGTAACCAAAGTTTTACTCTTGAAGTTTGTCCTGTATGAAGTATTTATATGGAATATCAAACATTGTGTCCTGTTAACAGTGCGTCGGTCAACAAAAGGCGGTTAAGCAGCTTCTTCAGGTATTTCCATCAACTTATTCATGTGAAGTAAATTTAAACAGGTGCATCATTGGT